GGGGGGGGGGGGGGGGGGGGGGGGGGGGGGGAGTCTCGTGTGGGATAGAACGACGGTCAGGCGGGGAGCGAGGACAGCGGGATGGAGGAACGAGAAGCGCGGCTATTAGGTTTATTTGCCGTAATTGGGGGAGCTTTAACGCGCTAAACCAAACACCGGTTATGGCCGCCATAAAACTACCCACAATCACTTAGAGCCGGCGCGCGGTACGCGCTTTTTCTCCCTATTTATTCCGCGCGACCGGCCGCTGCTAGTCGCCGCGCGCGATCACGAGGATGAGCAGCGGCAGGACGAAGCGGACGGACCGACGGACGGACCGGAGGACGAGTTACCGGCGATTTGTTATTCCACGGCTCGAGTCTGACTACCCTCGGCTTCTTGCGCGCACCTTTTATTGCCGTTTAGCGCAATTTTCAATTCTGCGATCCGCCACTCTTAAAAACGACGTTGACTTCGGATTATCCGAATATGAACTGAATTTATTAAATTTTTTTTCAAGTATTGATTCGTCTACCTTATCCAAGGATATACGGACTTTCTGCTAGTTATAACGTCGGTTATAACTTTCGCAAACGAAGTTCAAAATATCACAACCATATCTAGTAATTATAGACATAGGACATAAATTTATTATTGTCTTTTCCGTTAATTGATCGAGTGTAATTATCGCAATTATGTATATAACATTTTCAAAAAAGGTTAGAGCAAAGGTTCTAATCAGAGCACTTGTTGCAGCTGAAAATATCATTATAAATTTATGGTAAATTATTCAGAAATCTCACGTCTTGCTGCTTATATAAATGACAAAAATTAATTTAGCCGAGGTGGTAAGAAAATCTCTGATTATACGTAGCCATTAATCATCGTAGCAAATAACTGCTATGCTTTTCGAAAGCAAATATCTTACTTCATTCATGCTTGAAGCGTTTTAACATATGAGTCATTATTTACGAACAAGCAAAAAGAAAATCCATTGTCTCTCCCAACATTGTCAGACTTTCACCCTTTTACATTCTCATTGCGGAAAAGCGTATTTCCACATTTCGAGATGCATATATATGAAATGTGACGTTAACGGGCACGTGAGCTGCCGACGGATCGCGGCTCGGTTTTAGAGACATCGATGCCCGGACAAGTCCGAAAACGTATCGGATTAACATTGTCAGATGAGATGTTGGATAAATATAATCATTGAACCAGCATTGGATGAACGTAAAGTTCATCAATCTTCTTCGTAAAAAAATTATCGCTCTTTTGCAATCAAGTTAAAAAAAAATTACGTCAAACAGAAAGTGCTACCAATATTTATGAACCTTTATAGAAGAATATATCATTCTATTGGACCAACTTCTTATATCCAACAGTTTTTATTTGTGACTTTTGAACTTTTGAGTATCTAAGGACCGGATTTTCGGTCAATTCCCATTAACTTTTCAAAAAGCAATTTTCAGCTTTTTAAGAAATATTGGCACAAAGGATCGTCTCTTCGGACAAAGATCAGCGCTCCGAGACTATTGTCACCTGTATAGTGTGCTTCAAAAGCACAGCATGTACCACCTGACAGAAAAAGAAAATAACGGCAGTGGCAGCAGTTATATCTTGCGGTAATGTTTGAACGAGTGAAAATACCGCGACGTTGATAGATTCGATGTCGGTCCTTGTGTTCTTTCAGCGGCGTGCCGGTAAAAGGCGGTCCTTCTTTGCGAAATTCGGGTAAATACGAGCCCAGGAAAGTCTACTCTTCGTATTTCCACCTCGGCTGTTAGTTTACACAGAGCAACAACCGGTCCGGCGCTGCGCGGCGCGCAGTGGTGCCTGAAAATGGACCCCAGGACCAAGCTTGTAAAGAGCACGAACGAACATTCACGACGAAAATGAACAAACATAATGAGCTCTTTCCTTTTGGCATAATGACAAAAGTATTTGTAGATCAATCTTGTTTTGACATACGGCGCCATGAAAAGCAAGTTTGTACGCGTTCTCTGCTTGGTCGGAATCCAGCCCCGTTCAATTATTTTCAGTCAAATCCGATATACTGATATGAGAAACGTTGTGTTAAAATAATTAGTATTAGTACTAAACTTTTGGATCCATATCTACGTATAGGTATATATCTCTTATCATTTTCTTTTATTCGTTATGTTGCACAACACAACGCGGAATGCGAGAATTAACGGATAAATTGTGTTTATAACGCCCGAAAATCACTCGAATTCGAAATGTTTTACGTTCTTCTTGTTTATCATCTTTCCTTGCTTCGTTGCTTTATACGAATCGGACACATTGAATTGCAAATATTACATGTAAAATACAGGAATGTAATATTAGGCATAATTATGCATGGTAAGAATATTATCAAAAATACTTTAAAAGATTATTAATACACTCGAACACAAAATGTCTTTCGACGCACGAAAGATATTTTGTTGCATCTGACAATTGCTTTCTAGAGAGTCTGTTATCTGCCACGTTCTCATCGTGATTCTTCTCATTAGCTAACAATTTAAGATTATATCGGTCTATATATTAAGATTATATCGGTATTTGGACATTTTCTGGATAAGCTTTTAAGAATTCAGGTTTTGTCCGCTTAAGCACCACTGTCCGCGGCGCCGAGGCTGCCTTTTGTGTGACGCGGCGATGTCGACTTACAAATTGGAATACAACGGAGCGGGAGTTAGGAGAATCGTTTCACGCTTCGCGGGGGCGCCAAGTGGAAGGCAAACACCGATAAAAAATGCATGAATAAAGCACTAATGGAGCCTCCATGGAAGAGAAATAAACCTCGAATAGTCTCTTCGCTTCTTAAAGGTGATGACGGACAAGCGATCGGACGGTCCTTTTCTCGCATTCGGTTCCCACAGCATCGCGGATGATTTTTAAGTCTCAAGTGTTAAATTTACATGAGAAAGATCGTTTCACAAAGATCATCTAATTAATCGTCATTAATCTGATGTTCCACTATTTTGTCTTCGTCTCTAATATTATATAAATTCCCTAGGGAAACGAGCCCCGATGACACTGAGAAAATATGATGATTACTTCGAAATTGACAGCGAGGAAGAATCGTGCGATGTAACAGTATCGTACATAAACTATCGATCTTATCCGTATATGAAGCGAGTATGATCGAATATGATCGAGCCGCTTATCACGCCGGCTAGCATTTCGCGTGAATCACCTGCTGACGTTTTAACGACGTGCAGTAGCCAGTTTGTCATACGGACTACAGTACGGTGACACGCATTAAAGTAATAACACACGTTACTGTGCGCGCCGTTCATGGAAGAGACAGTCGATCGATATATATTGGAAATTATCGAGGTACTTAAACGTATTTACTGTTATACAGACTACGAGATTACCGAGAATATGCGCGCCTTTAAGGTGTTAAATATCACATGTAAAAATAATCGATATTTCCTTTCTCATTTTTAAAAAAATAATGCAAACTCTTGGGAAAATTTGTACGAGCACTGATATTAGCGATGTATGTAAAGTAATCTCTGATTGCATTTTTCCTGGCATTTCTGATTATCATGCTTCACCATCTTGCACCCAGGCAAAGCACAAGGTAGCGAGAAACCCGACGATCTCGATAGTGTCACGTCCGATTGTCGCTTTAATTAATATGAGACCAAACGCGACCATGATCGACCGATCGATTGGACGTGTGATATCGATATCCCCCGTAAATACGGTGTCATTTCGTACGATGATTCACCGGTGCGTCGACTGCTTCAAGGACGACCGTCTTTATCACAACTTGAAGCAGAGCTGTTAGTTTTATCATCGGCGACATTACCGTCACAATTTAAAAATGTTCCCTAACAAATAACGAAGCCTCAGAATCGAATTGCATCGTTTAAAAAAAGCGCAGTCTGAAGCACGTTTTTGTTATAAGAATATGCGATAGGTTTAATGACCGTGTGACTATGAGAGTTATCGTTTCGTATAATTGATCTAAGAAAGTGCTTTAGCGTTATTGTTTGTATAACGTCACGTTTCTTGGCAAGAAACTCCCTTAGTCAGTTGTAGTCATAGCATGATGGATACTCGAGACAGTCGCTTTCCCAAAAGCCTGACTGGCCGCCTGACGAAATAAGGTAATAATGTGTTTTCTTTCAAAAAAAATTTAACGGCCCTCCCTTATATAAATGTTATAAGTTAGAATTATCAACGCAAATCTTCGTGATGGTAGTTTGGTTCCATTTGCAGTTATGATACTTTATAAATATTGGAATTTTTAAATAAATATTTCCTAAAGATATATGTCGCATATTAGAGAATAAGTACTTAAAAGTGCAAGTAAATGAAAACGATACATTTATTTTAATAAATCATTATGTGATTTTATTCTAATTTCATCACGACTTATCTCAAGTCAAAATCTCAATTACCTTAGTACATCGATAAAATATAAAATAAAAAATCATTCTAAATTAATATAATTTTTTATACAGTTAAAAAGAATAATTTGCATACGATTTACGGAAACGAAACGGTAGAAATTTTTTATATATTTTATTTTTATCAGAAATTGATGCTTTATTCTTCATTTATTCGCACTTTTATTGATCTCTGAAAAGAAAAGCGCGCGCGTTCACCTGTGTCATGAGACGATCGGCGCCGGTGCCTTCCTCGTCCTTAAAAATGATGTCCGTGTTGTAATTGGGTACCAGGTCTCGGAACTTAGCGTCATTTCTCCTCACCTCTCCCTCGCGAAGCCCGCTTGCCGGTAAGGAGAATTCGCTGACATTTGGCACATGCTGTTTGAACACCAGAGGGGTAAGTTTTCTCAGATTCGGCCGTCGGCCGGCGCCTCTGCCGGGTCCGCATGCCAGGGCAAGGCCACCGTTATCGAGTACGGGCAGCCAGAAGCTAAGAATCAACATGAGAACCTGGAAGAGCGAGGCGCGTGTGCCTACGCGACTCCCAATGGCACAGTGGTGGGTTGCCTGGAGGCCGCGGCGACGATGATGATGGTGCACCATAATCGCGTGCCTCTGCCTCGAGGTCGACCTTGCGCGGTCACTGCTCTCGTCGTCTCCAGAACGGCTGGCAGAACGACGACGACGACGGCGGCAGGAACGATGTCGAGGGTGACAATCCGCTTGACGTTCTGCTACCGATTCTTCTTCTTCGCCTCTTGCCACTGACCTCACTCACGGTTAACCATAACCAGAGCATCACACACCCCCCGTGCACGCACTCTTACCACCGATGTGATCCCCGTAGTTGCGTTGATAAACTCCGCGCGCGACCGATCGGCGAATTAACGCGAGGCTACAAACCTTTCGAAAGATCGTTAAAGATTCTTTTTTTTCTTTTGTAAATACCGAAAGGAGCCGACATACGATCACCACGTCGGAATATTATCAAGTCGTGGCACCAAGTCGGAGGGTCTACGAAGACGAATCTCTCTACATCGTAGACGTCGTCGGATTCGATCGGAAATTTATTCTAAAGCGACTGTTTCCTCGACTGATCGACGTTCTCCCTATCAGTACCGGGCCTTTTAAATTCTCGTCGGCACGCGCCAACACTCCCGCCTTTCCGGAGCGGAACCTTCTGCGATTTTCGTTGGAGAGGAGGTACGTGCGAGTCGACTCACTTGACTGAACTCGGACGAACGACGTCCGGAAGCTAGCGCACGTTTTCCGGACGAGCCGGTGGTGGGAAATGCAGGATGGGTTTCGGTGGGTACTCCTGCGTTGTTTCTTTGGTCTGACCAGGTCCAGGAGAGTACCCCTCTTCCTGCCCCCACCTCGCGGCAAACAGCCGGCGAGACCACCGCCGCTGGCTGCTGCTAGCTGCTGGTCCCCGTGAGGCTTTCGTGGCCTCCAAAGGTGGTGGTGGATGATCTCGCCCCTCCACCTAGGGCCTCCCGGTACGCGTGACTGACGTCACGAGGCCCGCTGTACCTCTATTGGCCGGGGCGGGGCGTTCACCAGGTAAACGAAGACAGGTGCACATGCCGGGAGGGAGAAAGAAAGAGAGAGAGAGAAAAAGAGAAAGAGTTAGAGAGTGCGAGAAAGAAGGAGAGAAAAAAGATAAAGAGAATGAGAGAAAGGAAGAGAAAGAAGATAATCTTCCAGCTTTTTTCTTCCTCAGCTAGACGCGATCAGTCTCTCATTCTTTCCTACTCTTTTCTCTTCTCTCTCTCTCTCTCTCTCTCTTGCCACTTTTTCGCCAACTATTTCTTCGTTATTCATCATCCGCCCGTCTCTTCTTCTTCGACTATCTTTCTCTCTTCGACGTTTCTCGTCCATCCCACTATCGTCGATTGGATTACACTTCTTCTTCGTCGTGCCGTCTTACCTCGTTACTCCGTTCTTCTCTTCATCGGAGTGCGTCGGTTTCTTTCCGCCTATCGCGCTCTCTCTTTTAGCTCGGTTTAGACTTTCCACTATGTATTCCGACATTATGTTACATATAGGATTCGTTGTCAAGTTCTCAATGATTTTCTACCCTCAAGGGACGCATTAGAAATGTGATAAAAGTGACGCGTGAAGTGTAGGAAGCTTGCGAGAATGACCTTGACGGATACTTGGAACGCCGTAGGATTCCGTTCTTCGTACTCTTCATCTTCTACTTCTTCTTCAATTTCTTCCTCTTCGCTCACACTCGACTCTTCACGTTTCTTTTTCTACCATTAGTACTCGTGGCTCACTTCGACGTAATTTCGCAATTCCTTCCCGCATCCTGTGAGATTTTCACGAAAGGACTTCAAAACTGGTATTTAAATAGCGTGACTTTCGACGATTATTGTATTACACGTAGACTAAATAATATGGACGCGTGTGAATAATAATTAGCAATTATTATTTACTGTAGTGTTTTCTTTTTAGTGGTTTCTTTTTATTGTTAATTGATAAATGACCGTGTAAATTGGCACAAGTTGCTCGTTATCATTTCGAGCACTTTCACGCTTCACGAGATATCGTGAAAAAAATCTGCACGTGAATCATTCCGATTACAGATGTGCGCGTGTTGCACGATCATTGATCATCGTCATCGTTCGATCCGTTTGCGAGAAACGCAATATGGTATTTGCAGGTCGGAGGACCGATTATGCGAGCCAAATACCGTTGATCGACATTATAAGCGGCGGAGTGTATCGCGCGAGTAAAATATACGAGACCGGGCACAGCTACACGGCAACTGATATGAAAGTCTAAGTCTACCTCACGGAGGGTAGAGAACAAGCAGAGAAGGGGGATACGGCAAAGAGTTCAGTTTACTGATAATAAACATCTTTCCCGAATACACAGACGATGCGGACTGGCCTGTCCGCATTTACACAACGTCGTGCCGAAACGTGCCCGCGGCATTTCTGGCGATAACTACAACCGCGATAACTACTATTGCGTTAGAAAGCAAAGCTCTTCGTCCGGTCGGGAAATAATATTTCCTAATTCTTGACACTAATCGTATAAACGTTTTGCTCATTTATTCGTACGATTTCGCAGAAAGGAATGAAACGAGAAAGTAAATTGAGGATATGTAAGTTTCGTTTAATATAACGACGCTGAATTAAATTCATAAAATCATATATAAAAATACTTTTTAAATAAAAATATTTATTTCTCTAACCGTGCAGGTCTAATAATCGTACAAATTGTAGTTAGATTACTTTAATTAAATACTTGTTCGCACTTGTTAATGTAAGTGTTGGTGTTTGACCCGAACGCACCGTAATCACTTATAACGCGATGATTAGTAATCTACGAATAAGGCTTCGCAAAATAAAAATCAATTTTCAAATTTATCAACAATATACTACGTAGACAGATAAAAATAGTAAGATTTTTTTTTCAGGTGTGTCGAAAAAAATTCATAGAACAGCAGTTCGCAACACCTATTACTCGCAAATGTTTTAGATAAAATTGAAAATACTTTTAGAAGCAAGAAAGTAATGATTAGCAAAGACAGACCTGTGATGTTCGCTGGAAACTATTCCGGCGATCGGATGGAGTCTAAATTTCCATACGGGTTCCAACATTGTAGTGCCGCGAACTTGATTTTCCGTGAATTTTCCTCATCCCGGCGCATCCGGAAACACAATGGCCGAATTACGAGCCGTATGCATCGCCCTACGCGGAAAGGGGGAGAATTACGGCCCAATGAAAGTATAAAATGTCGCTCGTTAACGGAGCCAATGCCAGAAATCGCTGAAACTTGCCGGCAATAAAAGGTAACGAGTATTCGCGGGCTGTAAACATCCGTGGAACGCTACTCCGGAACATTTCATAATCCTGTTACGAGGCACTTTGACTTTCGTGGCCAGCCGCGGCGTGTGTGCCCGTGTACGTACGTGTGGTGCGCGCGCGGGGATTGAAAATAAAATTCTGCTATCGAGAGAGGTGCAAGTAACGGCGCGGCGTTGCCGTGCCGTGTAAGATTGTTGCATCGTGAGAAAATATAAAGGAGGAGAGAGAATATTGTCGGTGTGATCCTGTGCACGAAGCGCGATTAAAATTTCTTCTGTCGCGTTAGACGGTCTTTTCGTGACACTTGACTCCGGCTGAGTTATGAGGCCGACGAAAATAACATGCTATCGATCGGTTTTATCACATCAAAATGGTATCTACCTATTATATCTAACAGCCTCGATTACGTACGATTCTTATCGGATTCTTACGGATACTGATACTGCAATGCAACGTCTTAATATCTGTGACATGTATCACAGGGTATGTCCCCTATCGTAAAAAGTATTTTCGCATTCACATTCCTAATCAAACTCATAATCGCAATAGCACACAATAATGATCTTCATTGACGTCCCAACTAAAAAAAATTAAGGTGCAGGCTGAAAGTTTTTTTTTTATCCTGCAAAAATTTCTGTCGGCAAGACGAGAGCGGTCCACGATGCGTCGCGTCGCGAACGTATGAGCTCAGCTGTCTCTTTTTCGAGGTAACACGATATCCTGGAGGAACCTAATGTCGAGCAAGCAGAGGTAACACCGGCCGAACGACGGTCCGAGTGGGCCTTTCGTGTAATGGACGGCTCAAATATTTATCATCGGGCGCGTAATTTAAGGTGCGTTTAGCAAACGGAAGACGACGCGAGGAAAAACAAACAGGACAGGGGCGGCGTGGCATAGCCGGCGAGAAGGAGAGAACGGAGCGGCGGCGAGCGGCGAACGAGGAGGAGGAAAGAGGTGGTGGTGGGATTGGAGAAGGAAGAGGACGATGAGCGGAGATGCTGAGGGGGGTCAACAACGATAAGCAGGAGCGAGAGGGCGCCGAGGGCGAGAGAGGCGGAAAGAGTAGCTCAAAGGGGCCGCCGCGGGGTCCAGAGGGCCTTGTGAGAAGGCGCAAACCCCAATAATAGCACCAGAATTTATATACCTGCACGAACTCGGTGGAGAACGGTCCCGCGGCTGGAAGGGTCCGCCGACCCAGGGACGGCTCATTGGACAATGCTCTGGCGCTCCTGGACAATACTTTCGGCGATGTTTCGCGGGTCCGTTTTGAATCTCGGCATTCGGTAACTTCGAATGTCAAGCTACGTGAAACCGGACGATGCGTTTATAAATTTGATAATCGGAGGATTTATGACTCTTCGAAAAGAAAAGAGATCGTTTGAAAGGAACATGTACTTTCGACGAAAGTCCTGATCCGCGCTTCGCGTAAGGCAGTCCTGCGGGAACGCGCAACTTTGATTTCAGGTGTGCACGTTTCTCAAAGCCGAGCGGCCCTGGGTTTCGCCATCGTCTAGCATCCTCTAGATAGAGGAGGAAGCCGAGAAACGGAATGAAGGAGAGAGTATAGAGGCAGCAGTTCGTGGCAGCCTGGAGAGCGAACCATCCATCACGGATGGCTCAAAGCCGTATCTTCTAGTGACCGGTACCCGCCAGTACTGGATGCCGCAGCGTGGCCAAATATTGTGAAAGGTCCAGAAAAGGCAGGAACGTGAAATAAATTTGCTGCGCCGATGTGAGAGGGAGGACGGCAGGGTGGAGGGTGGAGGGCGGAGGGAAGAAGAGAGAAAGAAAGAGAAAGGGAGAGGAGAGAAGCGGTAGAAAAAAGCGAGAACATTGGTCTCCCTCCCTTCTGGTCAGCTCGAAACGTTGCGTCTTGTACTTGTGCGTGTCGAGATGGAGAGAGGAAGAAGGCTCTTTAACCACTGTCGGCTCTTTGAACCCTGCCGATCTCTCTCGCGCGGTTCTCTCTCTTTTTCTCTCCCTTCCTTCTCTCTCATCTTTTCGTGCCGCGTCTGCTCAGGGCGCTATCATTTTCCTTCTCTTTTAATCTTTTTGTTTCTTTTTGTCTTCAATATCTGCTTCATATACAAGCCAAATTTTTACAAATCGTGAGGTATCATTTACATTTCGCACGTAAGAATACATTGTTTTAGCCAATTATTGTCCTGTTCTCATCAGCTCGATCGTATCAAGCACCTCCCTCGTTTTCTTCTTCACTGAGAAACCCACGTCGGGTTTTTGCATAAACCGTCTGTCTGGCATACATTCGCTGATGAAGGGAATCTGTATCCTCCGATCGACGAAGGTAGGTAGGTAATCTGTATCCTCCGTGGGTGATAGCTCTCGTCTAATGATTGAATCTTCACAGTACATTATAACGTGAAGCGGAGCAGCGCTTTTTACACGCATGTTTTTTCGGACACGGTATTCTAACTCGATAGCTATAGCCTTACAATGTGCCTTCGTCGTAACTTTATAGTTTACGTCATGAGACACCGAGACAAGCCATTTTGCCGCAAGAAATGGCAAAATCATGGAGGGACAGGTTGATCACGCGAAGAATTCGTGAAGAGCAAATTGTCACCGAATATCAGCTTTGACATCCGGTATCGCCGGTGATTCTAAAGCCTGACTCTTGAAGAAAACACGATCTTGCATCCTCGAAGCCGCTATTCTCTCTCGGCGTTCCGCGCTGACGCTTGTTAACGCAGCAGCACCTTGACCGTGCTCTCAGCCCATAATTTTCTCCGCGAACGTCACGGATCCTCTCTCGTTGGTGGATTAATAATCTAGAGTGGTCTCTCTCTCCCTCTCTCGCGCGCGCAGAGAGCGAAAAAACGATACGACGTGAGGGCAGCGCTAGAACGAGGGGCCGATAGGAGGACGAGCGGGAGAAAGAGGTGAAGGAAAAGAAAGAAAGCTGGATGGAACGGGGAACGGAGAGAGAAGGAAACGTGGAAGGGTACACACAGCGATCGTAGCTCGTAAGTTAGCACGTGGTCGAGTCAAGCCGTGCGAAGGAAACCGAGAAGCGGGAAAGGAGAGGTGGAACGAGTCAAGCGGGCTCACTACCTCATCTCGCTTCTTCAACCACTGACGTAGATGGAATTCTAAGTAGCCCTCGTGTCGACGCGATCTCAGGAAGCCTTGCCGTAGACATTATCGGCTGATTGCGATAATTCACGATAAGTAACCGGAGAGAAGACGGAATAACGTAAGATCTCTAGATCTAAGGTCTATTTTTCTGTTGCTCGTATTTCTTTCAAATTACGATTTAAATACCACTGGCTTTATCTATAGCCTTATCAACCTCTGATGTCTTTCATCGTTGATCTTTTAGTACCTAATGAAACGGACCGATCACGTTCCTTTGTAAATTTACGTTTAGATTACATTACATTCATCATAATCCGTTATAGAAGATATTGCATACTCAATGCGTCTACTGATCGTAATAGATTTCGTGGTAGTGGTCGCAGTGTTCTCCACGTCCCTCAATACTCGCGCCACTGTCAGCGTCTCCCGCTCTTCTCTTCTTCGGAACCACCTCATCTTCGCAGCCCGGGCCGAGCTAAAAGACGGCACGGACGGTGAAGGAAATGGGCTGAACAGAGAAGAGACGAAGAGGAAGCGAGAGAAAGAGGGAGAGAAAGAGTGGCGCGCACGTAGCCGACTCAGGGAGCGAGCATCAAGAAGAGTAGTGAACAGAAGGGACGAGCGGAATGGAGTAAGGGGTAGAGACGGGAAGAGAGCAAGAGCCCGAAGGACCACACAGGACGCGGCACGCGCGCGCTCTACCGGGTGGGCCAGCACACGTCGGCTTCGGGGATCTTCGCGCTACCTCGACCGAGCTCGTGCGTCCTCGGTCGGGCCCCGTGGTCGGATTGCGCCGAGGCCACACAGATCGCGCACGCGCGAACGCTTCCTGGGTGGCATTCGCCTGCCGGCCGGCAGGCCGAGCATAAGGTACTTCTCTTCGTTTCACCGTGGGCCGTACAACCTGTTAGTATCGTGCCGTCCACGCATTATGCCTCTCATTCTCCTCGTCTTTCACAGCACGTCCACCGCCAGGCCCTCTCCTACTCTCTGTTTCTTCTCACCTTCCTTTTCTCGCAGCCCGTCGGCGGAGCCCGTGAGCCCCTCCCGTCTCAGTTCTACCGGCATCACGAGCTTCTAATAAGATTCCAATTTGTCAATTAGGGGGAGGACGGGCCCCTGACGCGCATCTCCCGCTACCTTGACGGGCATTCCTCTCCTGTTCTTCTCTCTCCCTTTCCACGTTGGCACCTACCTGCATTAGCAA